TAGTTGTTCACAAAATTGTACTGCATAGGATGCTCACAATTTATAACATCTTATGCCCTGATAATTGTGCTAACTTCAAGTTTTTTTTTTAAGCAATTTTATTATTTATTATTTTTTTTTATATATATATATGTATATATATATGTACTTGAAGTGTACAATATATAATCTGCATATAATAAAATTGCTCTTAACTTAAAAGGTAATTATCAACAACACATACACACAAATATACATATACATATATATATATATATTTTTTATTTATATATTTATTCATTCTTTACCTCTGCGGATAAATTTGACTCTTGTGTGGTACTCTCCATTTTGGTGTAGGACACATGTTTTGAATCGTTCATAATTTTAATATTTAATTCTTCAAAAATGTCTTTAGTATCTTCATCATTTTCTCTGTTAGTATTATAAGGAATATTTTTATTTTCATTAAAAAATATATCATTATCATTTGTTATGTTTTCTTCAATAATGTCATCAAACTGTAAAAATTTATCAACTTCTTCATTATTGTCATCATCTAAATTATTTATATCATAATCTAAGTCTTCTTCATTTTGTTCATTCGCTAAATTTAAAATTTTATGAACGTCATTTTTTTTATTCTTTTTATGAATATGCATTTCATTGTTCTTTATTTTAAACATTTCTTTTCTATGCTTATCTTTGTTTTTTTTTGTTTTTAATATTTTATTTTTCACAATCACTTCATTTTTTAGATCCTCTTCCAAGGTCCTCAAGTGCTTGTGTTTTTTTCTCACTTTAAGTTTACTCATTTTTTTTAAATGCATTAAAATTAAATAAAAAGAAATAAATGAATAATAATAAAAACAATAATATTATTCAAATATCATTACTGTTTACAAAACATTAAAAAAAAAATAAGGTACAGACCAAAAAATTGAACATATTAACAGATTCATTTTTTTTATCAAAATATGTTATATATATAGATACATTTTAATATTAAATTACTTATAAAAAAAGGGAAATATATTATAATATATATTATCTACATATTGATACGGAAGGAAACTCTATCTCTATATATATATAATTATATTATTATATTCTTTTAAATATGAATTGTTAAATATTTGTAGCCCCATTTATTTATATAAGAACAAGCAAACAAATAAAAGTAACATCTTAAAAAAATAAAAATTATTTAACATAATCAAATATATATATATATATATATATATGTACAAATAAATGAATAAAGAAAAATTATAAATATAAAATATAAATATAAAATATAAATATAATATATAATATATAAATATAATATATAAATATAAAATGTAAATATAAAATATAAATATAAAATATAAATATAAAATATAAATATAAAATGTAAATATAAAATGTAAATATAAAATATACACAATAAATTTATTATATATTCATATAATAATAATATTTTAATTTTTATAATAATATGAAAAAAAAAAATTTAAATTAATTTTATTTCTATATTATACCTCATATAAAAATTAAAATCCTTACGGAAAAAAAAAAAAGAATATATATTTAATATATATTATACATACATAATTATATATACATAATATATTAATACAAGTATCATTCATTAGTTCTATCTCAAGCATATTTATATAATAAAATTATATAATAAGAATAAGATCTACAAATTATTTATTATTTTTTTATTTCTTCAAACAAAACAAGGATGTAAACGAAAAAAAAAAAAAAAAAAATAAATAAATATAAAATATATTAATAAATTAAAATATTCATATATAATAAAAATTTATAGATTTAGATATATAGTTTACAAAAAAATTAACTTCAAAAATGCTTATGAGAATTATTTTCAAACAAATAAAAAAATATTTAATTATTATTATTATATTTTTATATATAAATAATACATACATATATATATATATATATAATATATTAATGTTCGTTAATTTATGTTTTATATTATTAAAAATTTTTTTTTTTTTTTTTTTTCATTTTGGCTGTTTAGGAAAAAAAAAAAATTATTAAGGCAAAATTTCCATATAGGTTATATAAGTGGTTTTGTATATATATAAAACCACTTCTATAAAGTTGTAGAATATTTAAAGTAGTAGCACCTATTTTCCGTATTTTATTCTTATAATATTTTTTAAGTATTATCTTTTTATTTCACCATATATAAATTTATAAATAATAAGAATACTGCTATATGATTTTTCAAAAGGAAAATTATATTAAAGATATATAGGTATTTGTTTTTTTTTTTTTTTTTTTTTTTTTTTTTTTTTTTTTTGGCTAGCTATATATGAATTGTTTTTATTATTATGTTATTCTTTAATATATTAAAATAATATAGGAACTTTCTTATTAAAGAAAGAATAAATATTTTAAAAAGGAAAAAAAGTAACACACACATATATATATATATATATATATTATATATGTTTACATTCAAGGTATAAATAATACTAAGATAATTAAAAAGAAGATTAATATATATATATATATATATATATGTATGTATTTTCCTATATTTTACAAAATCCATATATTTTGAAAATAACATTTGAACTATTCAATTACCTTATGATGTTCTTTTAATGTATTGTTTAGTAATTTAACTACTCTTTATATTTTTTCATTTTAAATATATAAATTAAATATATATACATATATATTATAATATTCTTATTAAATTTTATTTTCTCAGTTTTCATAAATTTCATCAAATAAATTTTTATCAGACATATGCTTGTCAAATAATTTATACAAAATCATCACAGAAAATAAAAAGTAATAATAAAGTATAGTTTATTATACTTATAGAAGGGTCATATTATATATATATATATATATATATATAATATTAATACTTACTATTTTAGGAAGGAATAATAAAAAAAAAAAAAAATTGACGAAATTATGAGAAATGATAGTATATAATAAATACACCTTTTTTTATATTTATTTTATTTTGAATAATAATATTATAATAATTTTAAGGAGGGTTTTATTCTCTTTAATTTTTATATTTTTCCAAATTTAAAAAATAATACATTTTTGTACGATGATTTTTTATATTTACCTTTTAAATTAATTCTTCTTTTTAAAAATTAATATTATTATATATATGAAAAAAAAAAATAATAAAAATAAAACTAAAAAAATATATATAAACTATAAACCTTAAAAATTAAAGGAATTCAACTATAATATATATATATATATATAATATAATTATAATATATATTTTATTATATATAATTATAATATTTCATATAATATTTATTTTATCTAAACAAAAAACAAGGATTTTTATTTATAAATATAATCATCATCTTTTAACAGTAAGTTTACTTATAAATATATTATATATGCATATAAAACATATAAAGGGATTTTTATATATATAATATTTATTTATTATTAAATTTTAATAAAATGAAAATATTCTAAAAAATAGTAATGAAAAATTTTATTTTAATACTTTAAAAAATATATAAATTTAAATAATTATATTAAATAATTTAATAATATATTTATTATATTTTTTACAAAATATCTCATCATATCTTTTTTTTTTCACCACAATATATGTATCTCTCAAAAAAAAAAAAAAAAAAAAACATATAAAATAAATATAGTAATAACCACTGTTAACACTAATAAGGGAAAAAAATATATAAAAATGAATAATAAGATTATATATATATATAATATATTATAATAAGGGATACTTTAATATTATTTATTATATTAAGCAGCAAAAAAGAATTTTCTTATAATAATATGAAATCTTTGTTTTTTATATAATACATCTATATATAATATATATATATATATAATAATATGTAATAATTTATATATTATTTTTTTTACTAAGGTTAAAGAGAAAAAAAAAGAAATATATATTTATATATATATATATATATATTTATATTATATATATTATAAGGTTAAAAAAAAAAAATAGCACGTATAAAAAAAAATTATATTAATTAAAATGAAGAACATAATGTAACTAATATAATAAAGTATTATATGTATAAATAAAATACTATATATATATATATAATAATATGTATATGAATATTTTTATTATATATAATATATATACTCATAATATTTGATAAAAAAAATAAAATTTGTGGAACGATTTTATAATTTTATTTTATTTTATTTTTTTTTTTTTCTGATTTTTTATTTGTTAATACATAAAAAAAAAAGAAGGAAATAATTAAAAAAAAAAAAAAAAAATTTAATTTTCTAAAGTTTTTTATAAGAATATAATTTTCTAATATATATATATATAATAATATATTTATATATATATTTGTTAATTTGTAAAATAAAAATTTAAACGTTTTAAAATTTTTAAGTAAAAGAAAAGTTTTTTTTTTTTTTTATTAATTTTATCATTATTTTATATAATATATAAAAATGGGAAGGAAATCAACCATTAAGCCAGCCACAGGAATAGCAGGTAAATATATTTAAAGAATTGAGAGAAAAAAAGAAGAAAAAAATAATAATGAAAATTTATAAGTTTAAATAATATATATAAATATATAAATATATTAATAACAATATGTATATTTTATATGTTGTTTTACGTGTTAGTATTTCTTTTTAAATACATAACATTATATATATATATATATATTTATTTATTTATATGTATTTATGAATATATCTATAAGTTATAACGAATAACGTTACAACATTTTTTTTTTTTTTTTTTTCTTTTTATTACCACTTCATAGTTGGATTTAATAGTGGACATGTTGTAACAAAGAGAAATTTAAAATTAAATAAGAAAAAGAAACCATTTTCCAAAAGAAAAGAATTGATAAAAGATGTAGTTAGAGAAATTACTGGATTTAGTCCATATGAAAAAAGAATAATTGAATTGATAAAAATAGGTACATCTGCTTCTACTAAAAGAAGTTTAAAATACGCTAAAAAAAAGTTAGGAACCCATAAAAGAGGAAAAGCTAAGAGAGAAGAAATTCAAAAGGTCGTTATTTTACAAAGAAGAAAAGCTGCTGAAAAACATTAAAACCAAAAAGAAAAACAATAAGATAAAGAAGAAAATATGTCAATTTTTAATTTTTTATATTCAGATAATTTGTATATTAATTTATATTATGTTATATAAAAACATTGTATTTATAATAAAATATATTTTT